CGTCTTTTGCCGTTGATTTTAACGATGACAAAAGGCTGGTTGTTAAAACTATATATATATATATATATAAGTAATGTAAGAAGGTCGAGTGTCTTTAAAAGAAGAATAAATTAACATTATTTTTTAAGTTGAACCAAAACAAGTTATACATACAAACTGATAGAGTCGTTTGTGGAAGTTATTCTGAACAGTTATATTGCCTTCACGAGACATTGCACCAACGAGGATTTTCAGTGCACGTTAGTCCTAGGTTGAAATCTGATAAATTTTTCTGTACTTTAAAATCATCGCCATGTAAAAAATAATTTAGTCCAGAAAAACAAAAAGTCTCTCTCTCTCTCTCACACACATATATATTGGACTCCGAAAACGCAACTGATAACGAAATTTTAAAGCAATATAAAACTCAACGCTGTCTGTTTTTTTTTGTTCACTTCTCGCCATGTTTCATGGTTGCCATGGCTACTGGATGTAGGTCCTCGAGGGACAAGTTACAGAGCATGTTTATGATAGCAAAACCCGAGGCACTTCGTCAGCTTTTGAGTGGCCTAGCGGTTGGTCTCTTACGCGACATACTAACTCAAACTCATAAATATCAAATATTCTACTACCTCTACAGCTGCTGCAAGTAAATGATTGCGGTGAGTTGGAGATAAAAATATTTTTCTTATTACAACCCCGAGTGCAGTGGCAACGTGGAGAAGGATTAACGGGTAGAATTTCTGAAACTGGACGTGTTGCCTGAGGCAAAGACTATTAATTATAATTCAAGTGCCCTTTATGGTGTGGAAGAAACCAATGGTTACTAGACAGCCACGCGAGACGACAAGAACCCACACGTCACTGATGAATATTTCTGGTACGAGGACGGTAACTTTGAGGCTTGAGAACTCATCATTTCGCGCCGTTGCTAACGTTCAAGAGCCAGGATCTCTGTGTGCAGCTGTAAAATAAGGATCAATAAGCACTTTTCACGAAACTCGAGTATCCTGGGGTCGCTCGAAGAAGGTGCTTTAGTTGTTAGCGAGAGATGTTACAAAAACTTCAGTAACGAACATTTATTCAGTTCCACCACAGTCATCGTCGTGTTCAGCATGCACTTAGATCTTACTCTGAAAACGTTCTATTAAAGAGTTACACCCAAATTTCATAACAAACTGTTGAAAATGAAAGATAAAATACAACAGTCTGTAATGACAGCGTGTCTAAATGCTAAAATAAATCATATATAAAACAGGAAATAGACCGATTTATGTAGTCGAATATCATACACAACTACTGTATTCCATACGATATCATGTCCCATCAATCAGGCTGCAATAATGTGAGAAGTTTAGGAGTATAGTTTATAGCAGTCAACCATGCTCCAATACTCTGATATTAATAGTTTCATTTTGAGTTTACCGACCGATTAAGTATACGTTATTACAAGTTACAGTAAGTAAAATTTGTTTTTTTTTAGAACAGGTACAACGTTGCAATGACTGTTCCACCTACTTTAGATACAGATCTTACTTACTGTAAAAGCTGTAACTTGTAATGAAATAATAATGTGATATGTTTAGGACTATAACTTGAAACTGTCAAATATATGTTAGGCAAGCATTTGTAGTTTTGATTATGTGATTGACATCGATCTTGTGAGTCCAGATGTATGACAGTTACTGGTCTTGTTCTATTGATACATAACGTATCAAATGGGCTAGGCTTAGGACGAGAGTCCGTGCTAAAGGGGAGAGCCTGCAAGAGCTGGGAAGGGATTTGCAAAGTATGGCACACAAGGCCTACTCAACTGCACCACCCGATGTATGACTGAGGACTATGGTTTCAACAGTTACTGGTCTTGTTCTATTGATACATAACGTGATTGGTTAATAACGTAATATTGATACATAACGTGATTGGTTAATAACATAAACTTCAGTAATACACATCTCACGTACTCATCCTCACTTGTAGAAACTGTAGTTTTAGTTAAAATATATTTCATAAATAAAAACGCATTAAGTGACTAGTTGATAGCCGTATTTTCTTTACCAATGTACAAGTCTGATAAACACAGGCGATATAATGGTGGTGGAACAAAATGTTCGGAGATATCCTTTATACTTATCCAACAATATTGGATAACAAAGGAATATGGATCAACTTGGGGCACCGGGACCATAACAGATGAGAATCCATGAATTGAAAGGACAGGGGCAAAAAACTTCCAAGTGTTCCAGACAACAGTAAATAACATAATTAAAAAGGATCCCCATCTGGAGAAGCGTTATAATTCATTTGTACATGTGTAAACAATTTGTTTACATGCCATATCCGTTTGACGTCAACCGTCGAATGAAATAAGTATTCGTACTGGAGACATGCCGGTCAAGTCGTCGGACACAGTGCATATGGATTTCCGCACTGGAAAACCGTCGTTATCGTACACACAATGTATTAGGGAACGCCTGCAACGAGGAGTGGTGTACTTTGGAGATAGTAGTCTTATGACGGAGCTTTTTAGAGCGTAGTTTCTATTACGGGACTATAGTCAAGATGCATCGTCGTCAAAGAGAGCATGACCGGACGTGGTGAGGTTCCAAAATCAATTTAACATAACGTAGTCAGCTGACACAGGCTTTATCAATAGAAAAATCTGAACGAACAAGAGATGCAGCAAGGTTATGAAGAATAGAAACAAATAAATTTAAAGCAATATAGAAATCTTGATACATAAACTGAAATCCTCACGTGACCCGCAAAATAGCCTATTTGTTCGACTATATGGGGACTTAATCTAGCATTTTCAGGACAAATTAAATAAGAAATTACTTACTCATTACTATTATTTATTCTTCTTCTCCTTCCAACTCCCACTGGTCAATCATGCTTGGACCTGGTCTACCCACCTCACTATGCCTCGTATAGATAAACTACAAGATTACTTTTCTTGTAAATGATGGAGTAAGACTCTGAATAACCAAAGAAATTCATTATTTTACGTCCAGTGTTAGGATTTCATTTATGTTTCCAGATTTCTTGTTGCTGTAAACTTTGTTTCTTAATTTCCTTTTTTTTTGTTTCTATTAATCTTTTATGTTGTTTTTTTTATTTCTTTTTACATGGTGCATCGAAGAACGTACTTTATACCCAGTAGTAGAAAACAAAATATACTAGAAAAATAACTAATTCAAAATTTAAAAATAATATTGCAATTTACTGGTGGTTCATCGACCACTGTTTACTTAACGGTGAGCCGCGTGCAACTGGTGGTTTTATTCAGTAGGTATATTTCATTATGATTTCGTGTTAGACGTATACATCTATGACAGACTACCTTCCATCAGGTAGTATATAGTGTCTGAAAACGTTTGGTCGATTACCAGTTGGTAGTTGAAAGGATATCAAACTTTAGTCCGTTAGACATACAATCTCGGCTAATCTTCAGATATAGTCAAACGTAATGAATCTCCAAGTCAGTAAAGTCACCACATTTCCTCCAGCATAGTGACATCAAGATAAACAGGCAGTGACATGTCCTATGTATCACCTGGTAACATCAAGACAGACATGTAGTGACATGTCCTATATATCACCTGGTGACATCAAGACAGACATGCAGTGACATGTTCTATGTATCACCTGGTGGCATCAAGACAGACGTAGTGACTTCTAAACATACATAACAAGGTGAAGTTTGACACTGTCACTTACCAAAGTTGGTCGGTTTGCCACTGTTACTTACTCTAGGTGGCCGGTTTGCCACTATTATTTACCCAAGGTTGTCAGTTTGCCACTGTTACTTACCCAAGGTTGTCAGTTTGCCTCTCTTACTTACCCAAGACGGCCGGTTTGCCACTGTTATTTACCCAAGGTTGTCAGTTTGCCACTGTTACTTACCCAAGGTTGTCAGTTTGCCTCTCTTACTTACCCAAGACGGCCGGTTTGCCACTGTTACTTACCCAAGACGGTCGGTTTGCCACTGTTACTTACCGCAAGTGGTCGGTTTGCCATTGTTATTTACCCAAAGTTGTCAGTTTGCCACTGTTACTTACCCAAGGTTGTCAGTTTGCCTCTCTTACTTACCCAAGACGGCCGGTTTGCCACTGTTACTTACCCAAGACGGTCGGTTTGCCACTGTTACGTACCGCAAGTGGTCGGTTTGCCACTGTTACTTACCCAAGGTTGTCAGTTTGCCTCTCTTACTTACCCAGGACGGCCGGTTTGCCATTGTTACTTACCCAAGACGGCCGGTTTGCCACTGTTACTTACTCTAGGTGGTCGGTTTGCTACTGTTACTTACCCCAGGTGGTCGGTTTACCTAAGTATTTTAATAGCCGTCAGAAGTGTAAAATGTCATTAAACCTTTACAATTCCTTCTTGCCGTTAACTAATTAAATCAGATTTTATAAAATTATAATGAATGGTTCTGTCAGTCAGAATATATACTCACCGCTACTTTAACAACCATTTATTCGGGTCATATTTTTTCAATCGCACGAGACAGCGTCATTATCCTCGGGTTCAGGAGTGCCATATTATTAATGACCGAGTTATTGGACTCAGTGTGGTTTTAATAGTCTAAACATTTACAAGGAAATACGTTGTTTTGTTAGGGAAAAGGTCACTTTAATTAATTTTTAATTAACTTATGTCTGAATAATTTAATTTTCAAGAAAATAATCTCTCTATCATACTTAACAGCTCTTTCCTGCATACCTTAAAAAGTATTATAGGAGCTGCGATCTTGTTTCCGCACTAAAGACTCGAAACACGCCAGTTTGATGAGCGCAGTCTTCAAGCTTATTTAAAACATCAGTTTTCTCTAGTCAGGCTAGAAAGTACATGGTAATATCAGTATTGTCTTGGTTTTAAAGGTATTCCCTTTTCTAGTTCAATAACCGAGTTACGAAATTATCATCCAATCAATCAACGCCTAGGAAAAAATCAAATGCCACGGTTTTTCAGTTTACACAGCCTCAATAATTGACAGTATTTGAATCTATCTATCTTACCTGCCTCCACCGTGACTTTTCTGCTACCTATTGTACCCACGCTGTTGGTTGCTAGGCATCGATAGGAAGAGCTGTGAATTTCTTGCTGGTATTTATCGGGAGAGAACGGTTGAAATATAAGTGTTCCGTCAGGTCGGACGTAAACAACTTCTGCAATGTTAGGCACCTCTTTACCATCTTCCTTCGTCCATGTTAAGTGAGGAAAAGGGTCACCACGTGCAGCACAAGAGACGTGAGCACCTTTGGAGTTGGAAAACTGAACAAGTTGTGGGGGTTCGTGGGTGAATATTGGAGATGTGGGTAGGAACGCATCTATGGAAGTAATATAAATGTCAAAATATAAATAAAGAATTTTCACGGATGGTGAATACGTTTTTAAACATAACAAATATTTAATGATACAGATTTAAAAAGTTTGATTTGTTACTTCAATGGGATAAATCTACAGATGGCAGCAGAGATGGTTTTGTCCATACTAAGATTTCAATAGCAAAACGTTGTGGATAAGTTGACAAAGGTCTTAGGTGTGGGAAATATTGGTGCTGTTTCTTAGTTTTAAAATTATACCAAGATTTAGTTACATGTCATTAGTGTTAAAGTTATATCAAGATTAGTTACATGTCATTAGTGTTAAAGTTGTATCCACATTAGTTACATGTCATTAGTGTTAAAGTTATACCAAGATTAGTTACATGTCATTAGTGTTAAAGTTATACCAAGATTAGTTACATGTCGTTAGTGTTAAAGTTATACCAAGATTAGTTACATGTCATTAGTGTTAAAGTTGTATCCACATTAGTTACATGTCATTAGTGTTAAAGTTGTATCCACATTAGTTACATGTCATTAGTGTTAAAGTAATACCAAGATTAGTTACATGTCATTAGTGTTAAAGTTGTATCAAGATTACTTACATGTCATTAGTGTTAAAGTTATACCAAGATTTAGTTACATGTCATTAGTGTTAAAGTTATACCAGGATTTAGTTACATGTCATTAGTTTTAAAGTTATACTAGGATTAGTTACATGTCATTAGTGTTAAAGTTGTATCCACATTAGTTACATGTCATTAGTGTTAAAGTTGTATCCACATTAGTTACATGTCATTAGTGTTAAAGTTATATTAAGATTAGTTATATGTCATTAGTGTTAAAGTTGTATCCACATTAGTTCTATGTCATTACTGTTAAAGTTGTAAGCAGTACTTGACAGTTTAGATTGGTTTAATATTTTCAAACATTGAGGCTGTTTATCTACCCCTCCACACCACATCTGTATATGTTTTTTTAAAAACAGAAGTATGGTATGACAACATTCTGAATTATTTATATCCAGAGACGATATTGGTGACGTGACAGTATTCTACCACTATTGTTATCCCGAAACTTTTATTAAGTTTCACCATTTTTCAAACGTTTATCTGTTACATTAACAAAGTATATTCATTGGTGCAAATGTACGTTTATTTCTTTTAGATATTCGTGCAAAGCTAATGTTGAAATTATAGACCAGAAGGAAGGCAGCTATTCAGCAACACCAACCGCCAACTCTTGCACTACTCTAAGGATTGTATTATTTGATAGTCTCTCCTATAACACACATGCTGCTCTAAAGTGCGGATCGATTTTTGTTTCGGCTACAAAAATGTGAACCACAGACCCTCGGGTTACTAATGGTATAACAGGTATAACTAATGGTATAACTATTCGGACTATTGGTATAATTATTCGGACTATTGGTATAACTATTCGGTCTAATGGTATAATTATTCGGTCTAATGGTATAATTATTCGGACTAATGATAATTATTCGGTCTAATGGTATAATTACTATTGGTATAATTATTCGGTCTAATGGTATAATTATTCGGACTATTGGTATAATTATTCAGACTATTGGTATAATTATTCGGACTATTGGTATAAATTCGGACTATTGGTATAATTATTCGGTCTAATGGTATAATTATTCGGTCTATTGGTATAATTATTCGGTCTAATGGTATAATTATTCGGTCTATTGGTATAATTACTATTGGTATAATTATTCGGTCTAATGGTATAATTATTCGGACTATTGGTATAATTATTCAGACTATTGGTATAATTATTCGGACTATTGGTATAACTATTCGGTCTAATGGTATAATTATTCGGACTATTGGTATAACTGGTATAATCATTCGGTCTAATGGTATAATTATTCGGACTATTGGTATAACTATTCGGACTAATGGTATAATTATTCGGACTAATGGTATAATTATTCGGACTATTATTCTCGTCTTTAGTATGTGTACTATGACCAGGATAGCCAACTTATTCTATAGAGTGCCCGTATTCGGGATCTTAGGTTCGGGGTTTCAAATCCTGTTAATTTCACAAAAAAGCTTTCTGGTTGTGATGCATACAAAAATGTCTGATATAACGCCTGACGAAGGCCGGAGAATTCACTGGTCTAAACGTTGTGAAAATATTAATACGCATAATAAAGACGAGAATAACAGTCCGAATAATTATAGCACTAGTAACACTAACACCTCAACAGTCCGAATAATTATAGCACTAGTAACACTAACACCTCAACAGTCCGAATAATTATAGCACTAGTAACACTAACACCTCAACAGTCCGAATAATTATAGCACTAGTAACACTAACACCTCAACAGTCCGAATAATTATAGCACTAGTAATACTAACACCTCAACAGTCCGAATAATTATAGCACAAGTAACACTAACACCTCAACAGTCCGAATAATTATAGCACTAGTAACACTAGCACCTCAACAGTCCGAATAATTATAGCACTAGTAACACTAACACCTCAACAGTCCGAATAATTATAGCACTAGTAACACTAACACCTCGTCTCAATCATTCCACAAAACTCTCAGATGGACAGTTCGAACCACTAATCATCTTTAATGTTTGTATAATATCAATAATTAGAAAACGAGATCCTTATTCTTCAGAAGGGAAAATAGTTGGAACACAAGTAATGTAAATACCCTCACAGACAGGACACAGCGGAGCGAGGCTATCTTGGAGTTGTTGCTTGTTTTCGAGGAAATTGGAAGAAGTCCTGTTAACATCCTAGATGTAACAACATACTTCAGATGTGACTTCCACAAGAAAAAGCCATAATCAGTTAGAAACATATTTTTAACCTCAGAAAGGAGTAGCTTAGCCATAACAGGGTATTCTGACGTAGCCATTACCCAGCGCGTGAGCGATTAGTTTCCGAATTCAACACGCTAAAATCTATGGTTCGATTCCACCCACGTCTAGGATTTAGTACTGAAGAACCATCGTTTACTTGGAAGCGTGTGACTTTATGTTTGTTTGTTTGAAGTTAAGCACAAAGCTACACAATGAGCTATCTGTACTCTGCCCACCACGGGTATCGAAACCCGGTTTCTAGCGTTGTAAGTCCGCAGACATACCGCTGTGCCACTGGGGGGCGTGACAGCTTGTATTATAATACGGGTTGTCTGTGGAAAACTAAAATACTTTTAATTGTCCTCGACTGACAGTATACTTCCTTATACAGGTACTTATGTTTCATTAGTCGGTGTATCGATACTTTCTGATCACATTAAATGTATTGGTACTTCCTAATCACATCGAAGTATCGATACTTTCTGATCACATTAAATATATTGGTACTTCCTAATCACATCGAAGTATCGATACTCTCTGATCACATTAAATGTATTGGTACTTCCTAATCACATCGAAGTATCGATACTTTCTGATCACATCAAATGTATTGGTACTTCCTAATCACATCGAAGTATCGATACTCTCTGATCACATTAAATGTATTGGTACTTCCTAATCACATCGAAGTATCGATACTTTCTGATCACATCAAATGTATTGGTAGTTCCTAATCACATCGAAGTATCGATACTTTCTGATCACATTAAATGTATTGGTACTTCCTAATCGTATCGAAGTATCGATACTTTCTGATCACATCAAATGTATTGGTACTTCCTAATCACATCGAAGTATCGATACTTTCTGATCACATTAAATGTATTGGTACTTCCTAATCGTATCGAAGTATCGATACTTTCTGATCACATCAAATGTATTGGTACTTCCTAATCACATCGAAGTATCGATACTTTCTGATCACATTAAATGTATTGGTACTTCCTAATCACATCGAAGTATCGATACTTTCTGATCACATCTATTGAACGTAATACCTCTCGTCTCAACAGTCCATAGTTGTTAATATTTAATGTTTCCCAACAGTTAAATGATGGCAATAATCATAAGATAAGCAACTCTTACCTGAAGTGGCAGGACTCAGTCCACAGATAAACAAAGTGTTGAACGCCGTTAATAGGACTGCCTTCATTCTACAGCAGACACACTCAACACAAGATGACCCAAGGCAATAAAACTGATACGTCCGCACGAAAATCTCCTTTAATTTCCCGTGAAATGAATGAAGCTTATAATTCGTGGATGAGACGCTACGGATTAAGTCACCTTTCTCTCATCTCCTCGTGAGCAGTGTGTGTGGGCTCCACGCACCGCTCCTCCAACTAATGAATTTTGTGAAGTAGGCGAGGAGAAGCGGAAGTTGGTTGTGTTGTGTGGAACGCTCACGGCTGCGTCGACTGAACACGTGCGCCCACAGACAGTGGTCGCAACGTTCTCGCCTCGTCGTTATTTCTAGAGGTAACCCTTATAAATGGATTCGTTCCCAAGAGCGACACTTTTTTGGAAAGAGTTTGAGTGTGATGTGTTTCCAGCGGCCCACAAAGTCGAACATTTGGTCTTCGAATGCAATGACATTCCTTTAAGGATTTTATTTACCTATTTTACTATGTATCCTAGATTAGAGATAAACCAAGACAATAAAGTTTGTTATTGGCTCTTAGATTTCCATAAGAAAGGAGTGAGTCTACAACAAACACATATAAACCTTTAAACATACTCCAACATGAAATACTCGCAACCAATGAGATTTATTGTCTCATCTTCAGAAAAGCGAATGAGATTTATTTTCTCATCTTCAGTAAAGCCAATGAAATTTATTGTCTTATTTTCAGAAAAGCCAATGAGATTTATTGTCTCATCTCGAGGGAAGAAAAATAATTTGCTAAAGTTTAGATCAGGGCTTTAAAATGATATGCTATTTATTATCATAGAAATAAGTATTGTATGTAAAATCTAAACTAGTCGTGAATAACATGCGTATCGTATTTTCTGGATATGTAATCATCTTTAGTCTTTAGATAGAAAATCTAGGATTTCGTCTTTTGTTTTGTAAACATTGTACACTGGCCGTTGTAACGGGCATGAAAACAAAACAGTGAAGAGTATGTAAACATCGGTAATATGGAGGCTCCACTTTCTGACAACACAGTAGTGAAGAGTATGTAAACATCGGTAATATGGAGGCTCCACTTTCTGACAACACAGTAGTAAAGAGTATGTAAACATCGGTAATATGGAGGCTCCACTTTCTGACAACACAGTAGTGAAGAGTATGTAAACATCTTTAATATGGAGGCTCCACTTTCTGACAGCACAGTAGAGAAGAGTATGTAAACACCTGTAATATGGAGGCTCCACTTTTTGACAACACAGTAGTAAAGAGTATGTAAACACCTGTAATATGGAGGCTCCACTTTCTGACAGCACAGTAGTGAAGAGAATGTAAACATCTGTAATATGGAGGCTCCACTTTCTGAGAACACAGTAGTGAAGAGTCTGTAAACATCTGTAATATGGAGGCTCCACTTTCTGATAGCACAGTAGTGAAGAGTTTGTAACCATCTGTAATATGGAGGCTCCACTTTCTGACAACACAGTAGAGAAGAGAATGTAAACACCTGTAATATGGAGGCTCCACTTTCTGACAGCACAGTAGTGAAGAGAATGTAAACATCTGTAATATGGAGGCTCCACTTTCTGACAGCACAGTAGAGAAGAGAATGTAAACACCTGTAATATGGAGGCTCCACTTTCGTGCACGGGTGTCAAGAAACCAGTGGCGACATATAGGGTTCGCAATGACCAACTTCGGTCGAATTTGTGAGTTGTCCACTTATAAAACTAATATTTTGGTGCTCATAGATCCGTCTGATGAGACTCAATCTCAACTCAGTTTTTAGGTATATACAATAAACACCCAGGGGCCTCCTACCTGGAACAAAATATTCTCGTCCTAGGGTCCACGCAGGCCGGTGTACACTATTGCATGGCACGTACATTAGCAAAGAAAACCAGTTCATGATCTGTTCAGTACTACCGGAACTGTCCGGACTGACGGACAGGTAACAAAAAGTAAAGTTTTGTGCGACTGTATATAAAGACGTTCCGCTGATGTTCTGTAGTTAAATTAAACCAAGTGCGACTGTATATAGAGACGTTCCGCTGATGTTCTGTAGTTAAATTAAGCCAAGTGCGACTGTATAAAGAGACGTTCGGCTGATGTTCTGTAGTTAAATTAAACCAAGTGCGACTGTATATAGAGACGTTCCGCTGATGTTCTGTAGTTAAGTTAAGCCAAGTGCGACTGTATAAAGAGACGTTACGCTGATGTTCTGTTGTTAAATTAAGTCAAGTGCGACTGTATATAGAGACGTTCCGCTGATGTTCTGTAGTTAAATTAAGCCAAGTGCTACTGTATACAGACACGTTTCCTTGACGTTCTATAGTTAAATTAAACCAAGTGCGACTGTATATAGAGACGTTCCGCTGATGTTCTGTAGTTAAATTAAGCCAAGTGCGACTGTATATAGAGAAGTTTCGCTGATGTTCTATAGTTAAATTAAGCCAAGTGCTACTGTATATAGAGACGTTCCGCTGATGTTATGTAGTTAAATTAAACCAAGTGCGACTGTATAAAGAGACGTTCCGCTGATGTTCTGTAGTTAAATTAAACCAAGTGCAACTGTATAAAGAGACGTTTTTCTGATGTTCTATAGTTAAATTAAGCCAAGTGCGACTGTATACAGAGACGTTCCGCTGTTGTTCTGTTGTTAAATTAAATCAAGTGCGACTGTATAAAGAGACGTTTCTCTGATGTTCTGTAGTTAAATTAAACCAAGTGCGACTATATATAGAGAAGTTTCGCTGATGTTCTATAGTTAAATTAAGCCAAGTGTTACTGTATATAGAGACGTTCCCCTGATGTTTTATAGTTAAATTAAGTCAAGTGCGACTGTATATAGAGACGTTTCCCTGATGTTTTATAGTTAAATTAAGCCAAGTGCGACTGTATATAGAGACGTTCCGCTGATGTTCTGTAGTTAAATTAAACCAAGTGCGACTGTATAAAGAGACGTTTTTCTGATGTTTTATAGTTAAATTAAGCCAAGTGCGATTGTATATAGAGACGTTCCGCTGATGTTCTGTTTATATACAGTCGCACTTGGCTTAATTTAACGAGACGTTTCTCTGATGTTCTATAGTTAAATTAAATCAAGTGCGACTGTATAAAGAGACGTTTCGCTGATGTTCTGTAGTTAAATTAAATCAAGTGCGACTGTATAAAGAGACGTTTCTCTGATCTTCTGTAGTTAAATTAAGCCAAGTGCAACTGTATACAGAGACGTTTCGCTGATGTTCTGTAGTTACATTAAGCCAAGTGCGACTGTATACAGAGATGTTTCCCTGATGTTCTGTAGTTAAATTAAGCCAAGTGCGACTTTATACAGAGAAGTTCCGCTGATGTTCTGTAGTTAAATTAAACCAAGTGCGACTGTATACAGAGACGTTTCGCTGATGTTCTGTAGTTAAATTAAACCAAGTGCGACTGTATAAAGAGACGTTTCTCTGATGTTCTATAATTAAATTAAGCCAAGTGCTACTGTGTACAGAGACGTTTCGCTGATGTTCTGTAGTTAAGTATAGTAAGTTTATTAACCAATTATTTCCTTCCAAACTTGACACGATAAATGAAGTGATAAAAGGACCATTAAGATAACTAATATGACGTAGAAGTTTATTAACACATTCTAAAAAAATATAATCTGATGATAATGAATACAGTTACAAACATTTTCAACGTCACGACAAACGCTATAACTCAATAAAAATTTTTATAACTTAATTTTAAGCCAAAGTGTATCGATTTTAAAAAATCAGCTACTTATCGTCAGTATTTATTCAGATCTCGTCTTCAGATCAAGTTAGGTTCGAATCCCCGTCACTGAACATGCTCGCCCTTTCAGCCGTGGGGCGTTATCATATGACAGTCAATCCAACTTTTCGTTGGTTAAAGAGTAGCCCAGGAGTTGGCGGTGGGTGGTGTTGACTAACTACCTTCTCTCTAGTCTACCACTGCTAAATTAGGGCTAGCGCAGATAGCTCTCGTGTAGGTTTGCGCGAAATTCAAACCAAACCAGCGCCATTATTGTGAATGTCGTGTTGTCCAGATTAAGCCTTCTGAAGTGTTTACATCTCACGTTTTGCTAAACCTGCCGACTTCGAGGATCGAATCAAAAAAAAAAGAAAAAAAGACTAATGCATTTTCGAATTGTAAAATGTTTGAGTCCAGTAATAGTGCACCAAGATCAACGAATGTTAGGTGGAGATGGTATAAAACGTCAAACATGAGGTTACTTGAACAACACGAACTTTACTCAGGCCTTTATCTTTTTTTTTTTCTTTGAATGTTATTAATGTTAAACACTTGTAGAACAATCCGTATGCACTGCACCAAAAATAAATACCAAATAAACATTTGATATAGTCTGGAAACAAACATCCGAATGAAGTTGCTAAAATCGACATGTTTCTTGTAAAACGCACGTTTGATGCTATGAGAAAGAGCAGCTGTTCTGCTACACATTTCTTGTGTGTATTTCATTTCGTCTTTGGATTTACTGTTTTGAATCTTGTTTACTGTTACGCTATAATTGTCCCCTTTCTGGCGTGCGTGGGCGTTTTTGAAGGAAATGCAGGATTTCGAGCTGATCAAATCTTTGGAACTTTTCAAACACAGAAGAAGAAAAAATGGCTACCCATTTTGATTTATATTCAAGTCCGTAGTGCAAAGGTCAGAAAACCTAGGCACAAATCACTATCGACAAGGTCTTGAAATGTGAACCACTTCAACTATTAACCGATATTTACAAGTCACCAGCTGTCCGCTGTCCAGTACGGCTTCAGGACAGTAAATAGGGATGTGAGTTGTTATCAGTGACCAAACAGTAAAGAACAGTCTTCACGAGTCTACCTAAAGGACCAGAAGTCCTACTTGACCATAAGGTACCACACAGCTCATTTTGAATGTTGCTGCTATAATAAAAATTGGTGTGATATTGTATCCGATTAAAAGTATATGATGTATAGTAAACCTACCTTGAATAGAAAATCTTAGAGGTCATGGCTTGGTCAGTAAAAAAGCCTAATATACATCCCATAAAGCAGATCTGTGACCTCTTGTAATGATCTACCTAGCATCGTCCACCACTTGAGTTCAGACAGCGTGACCTTACAC